AGATATCGGAACTGTTTCAGGTTTTGGATAAAGTACTGGGATGTTCTAAGTACTGCTGAATCATACAGGCAAAAATGTTGAACATTTTGTGCTTTTACTGTATTGTTGTAAATTTCTCAATATCAGGGACCATGCATGATGTCCTCCAGTTTTATTGAAATATAGATCCCATCAGTTAGATCTATGCAAATCAGGGATGTGACTGGGGTTGTAATTCAGTTCATCCAGAAAGCATGGGTTTGGAAAAAGTTGTGCTAGATAGTGGCCGAAGATTTGTGTATATATGTATTACTAAACTTTTATTGTACCCTACTATCTATGATTCAAGACAAATGTAGGGCTGCATTTGCATGACATGCCAATAGATAGTTTACTTAATCATACAATTAATCTGATTAAGTTTAAGGGTTCACAAGACACACTGGTTCATGCTGGATTCACACAACATATTAGACTAAAATATGGTTTCTTAGTTTGCCGTTTAGTATATTATCCGAACAAAGTCAAGGTTTCTGAGTTTCAGAGGTGTTGTATTAAAGTGTTTCTGTCATAAGTATGAGTTGTTGCAGTCAGTCAGTATATCTCTTTTAGTGGTCATACTGGTGTGGCTGGCTTCTGTCAGCCCTCTCAGGTAAACCAGACAGGAAATACAACTAGATGAGTTAATTCTACTTTATTGTAAGATTACATTAATGAAATCTTGCAAGTCTGAAGGTACAGATTTCCTGCTGCCATTTTTATCTGTCTGATGAATTATGTCGTGTCCTTCCTAAATTTCATCCTCTGGCCATTAAAGCACTGGGAACTCACCTTTCTCTTATCTGATTGTTTCCTAGGCAGCATTTCTTCCCCTTGTCCCTCAAGGTTATTCTTACATAACATTATACCTTCCTTCAGCTTTCCTCTGAGAAAACTAAGTTGATCTTGCATACAAACCCCACCCTTTTCTGGTAACTGCTTGGTTATCTAGTGAAGACTGATTGATGGCTCATTTCTGCATAGGAAGGCCTACAAGATTCACAACTTGTACTAACCCCGGTTACAGATAACAATGACTAGGGATTACAGCGCATGGAGCAAAAATCAAGCAAGTCACATTAAGGTATAGTGCGAGGTGTTAACCTAGCCAAGTGAGAAAAGATGAATCTGAGCCTATCTATGCCAAATGCAGATGTAACAATACATTTATAGTTTTTATTTGTGTAAGTATAGTTTACCTACAGTGGTAATATTGCTATATACATTGGTAGGGAAAAGTTACTAAAAATCAGTTTGTAGTTCACGCTCATTGAGCAGGGTGTTATTTTTCATTTTCTTGGAATATAAACACGAACCATGTTTGCTCTGCTGCTCTGCTGGCAAGAACTGCCTAGTGCGAGGAGGAGTTTCGTATAAAAAGGATGTTCCTAGAATGGAAACCTGTCACTGCCTCATTTTTACAATCCAAAGGACATTAACTGATTACATTGTCCTTAAATCGGCTTCAGTTTCTCAGTATTCTTAATATAGTTCATTAATCTTTTGTAAGATCAGCATGCTGACTCTTGTTAACTAAATCTGAAAAGATTTTATTCCATTTGCTCTGGAACATACGTATATACTATATCAGTATACACTATATCAATATATACTATACTTTATCATCATCATTTTAGTGTGGTGTTATTTTGTAATTCCATTTTTAAAATCCACATAATGCTGGATCCATCTGTATTTGAATACAGACTGAAAGAGGAGGAGGAGCAGCATTTAAAAAAAAACTGAATGAAACCAACCTAAGAGATCTCCCTGGTTCTTTGTCCATGTTTAATAAAGTGTAAGAGATAAGAATGAATGATTCCCTCTTACTAACCAGAGCTTAACTAAAGCTTCCTGATACCTAAACCCTGGAATTTTCCCTCAATCCTCACTCTCTACTATTTAATATTATTTCATACAATGAAACATTTGCTTTCTTGTTTGTTTCTTGTTTGATTGTTACTTTCTGAAAATCAATTATAGTCAGTTCAAATAATATCAGTCAATAAAATGGAACATTCTTTTTTCTTTTGCAATGAAATTGCAGTCTATGTTTACGTCAGATTAAAGAAAGGTCAGAGGAGGTAGCTTCCTTATAGCCTTGATTCCTAGCCCTGTAGATAAACTCAATCTATCTATAATTACTGTATAGTTGATATTGTATTCAAGAATCCATCTTCCATACAGGTGTGCTTGTTTACTGATTGGGCTTACATATCATACAAATCCTTGGCTTAATGTATCTATAGCTTGCTTAATAAGTGACAAAGGTTGGATTGACATATTATACTAAGCTATATAATTATGCTTTCTAAATTACATATTGTGCAAAACAAAATCAAGCAAACACATTGTGACTTAATGTCATTCTTAAATCTAACTATATATGATATGGGATTGTTTAAGAGTTTTGTAAATAAATCCGGTGCTGTGATTTTGCCTGATTAGAATCTGATAGTTGACAAAAGAATGTGAAACTTTCCTTATGTGGAGAAAAATCTCCAAAAGCCAACATTAATGTAATTCGTAGTGCCCATACTCTTATGAAATGGAGTATATTTAATATGGCGATATTAGTCTGTCTGGATATAATATTCCTATAGTTCATTCTCACCATAAATATAAATGATCATTTACTTCCATAAAAAGAAAAATAATTTATTACAATAAAAAGGATTACAATAATGCAAAAGGATTTCTGATAAATGCAGCCCACCATCTCAAATCTTTCTCTAAAATCACAGTTCAATGCCAAATCAGAATATATTAATTTGTTTTTATGGGTACTTGCTGATATGTGCAGGATGTGATGGAGAAAACCTAGAAGCTATTTATTTTAATATTAAAATAAATTATATTTCTAAATACAATAGTAGGAAACAAGAATCTATAGCACTTAAATCATAATCAAGTAAACCCAAATTATCACATTTCCGTACTCTTATTTCTCTGTACTGCCATTTTTCAAATCCAATGAAATAATGTCTTAATAGAGGAAATTACTGCAAATATTATTTAAACCTATCAACATTTTAACTAGAATTCAAAGTTTCAAAGAAACACTTATTATTTTGCCTTAGAGCAGGGATGTCAAACTCACAATGTCACATGATGTATTGCAACATATCACAACTTTTTTTCCATTGCTGGCAATAGGGTGGTGTGCTTTCAGCAAGACGCATCTGGCCCGCGAGCCAGCAGTTTGACACCTTGCCTTAAGAGAGAGGCCCCATAATCCAAAGGGCATTTATAAAAATAGATAAATATTAATTTATTGAATTGTAAACATGATAGAATTTACTTTTGAATAAATATGCTATGGAGCTGCTGAAGAGGTGCCTCTCCAAATACCCAGTTGTATTGAGGAACAATTCTATAAGTGTTGATTTGTCACTGGTGGTGTTTCCACAACTATTACATGTCAAAAAAATGAATTCAGTGTCAGAAAAATAAATTCAGTGATTAGGATGGGTTGGACATGGCTTTGAATCTGCTGATTCATTGCCATAAGACTTCACGATCAGACACTCTCAGTTATGTAAACCTGGCACTGATACAATTAACAACTTGAAATGTGTATCCCATCTTCTGCCCTGGATCACAGAACTTTAATTTGGAGGATGCTGTGCATGGTCTCCTAGTTCTCTTGCCACTCCTGGTAGGCTTGCTTTCCCCATTCTTACAACATTGTTTCTTTATTTCAAATGTCTTAATTCAAGTTAATATGCTTAGAATAATAGCATTTCAATAATGATTTGACCATATAGCAAAACAAAACAAAACAAAACAAAAAAACCAGATAATCTGCTGAGTTAATCAGGCCAGAGTACAATTTCACCTCCTTGAAGATACATTAACAAAACAAAAGCTGATGTTTGATTTAAAACAATATTAATGCGTCCATTATGTATTAATGGAATAGAAATAAACTTCACAGAAACTCACTGATCAAATTTCCTATGCCATCAAAGAAGATTGATTTGATTTTGTAAAAACCGGAATACTAAAAAAATTCAGGACAAATTACTGAAGTCAAGCAGGCTGCTGGGCCAGCATTTGTTAAGGAAACTATTTGCCAAACTGTATATTTCACATAATTCTTAAGCAGTCATTAATGAGCTGAAATTCTTCTCTACAGCAATGGAGCTGATTTCCTTCTTGCCAGTCTATACAAAGAGGAATGCTAACCTGCAATATTTCCTTCAATTTCAATTTTTAGTTTTGAAATTTGTTGAAAATTTCTTTTGAACAGTGTCAAATTGTGTGTATAATACAGTGATGAAACTGTAGTCAAATATGCTAATAATGAGGTGGGAACATAATACATATCTCTACGGAAAAATCATTTAAATGTTAAGAACTATAAAAGAAAAGTGGGATTAAGTATCAATTAGCAATGTGATCAAATAATATTCATATACTGCAGCAGTCTTCAAAGAAGACTTTGAGGGGGCTGCTAAAAATTACTGAAGGAATTGCTACCGTGGAAAGGAACAAAATTGGTTTCCCAGTGGAATGCCTCAATGTATCAATCAGCGCTGTGTATTAATGTTGTTTTCTGCTTATGTAATCTACTTCTTTGTTAGATTTATATGTATTTTTCCTTTAGGATATTAAGGTGGCACCCATTCTCTGTCTATTCTTAACAACAACAACAACAATCCTGTTATATTGGTTAGGCTAATAGTGAATGTGTGAGTGACCCAAAGTCACACAATGTCAAGCATCATGTAGCTGGTGAGAACCACATAAATTTTATCCTGGTTAGCATCATTCAGATTATAGCCAGCCAACTGAGATAGAGTCTCTTTGAATCAACTCCTTCCACCTCTGGGTTGATGTGCCTCTTCTCATACCCAACGAACCTCTCTACTCTCCCTGCTTTGTCAGTGTATACAAAACCAAGGAAGTTTCACACTGCTTTTATTAATATTGGAATATTGTAACAGAATCTTGCAAACTGGACTGCATTACTTCCCCCTTCTGCTTATCATCCTGTGAAACTATGGAGTTATCTATCAGGATTGATGTTCCATGTCTATTTCCTCTGGGAACAGATCTGGCTTATCTCCATCCAGGTCATCTTTTTTACTCTCTATGAGTTTAGTTCCCTCAGTCTTGCACCTCCAAAAAAGGTTTCAAGTAAACTTGAACTTGAGTCTCCTGATCTTGGTACAACATCTTCACCTTTATGCCTTTTATCTCCTTTGTACATCTGTGTACATTACAGATGCTCATTGCAATTCTGTATTCTAGATCTGTCCCTAAAGCACTTAATAAACATCTCAACAGGTAAAATTTGAAGCAATCTTAAAATTTTTAATGCTTGATAAAAAGTACAACTAAACAACTATCTCAAGAATACTGTCAAAATTACTACAGCATGTGCTTATACTACATCAATAAAAAAATGGTTAAATGATTATTTTAAGCAGCTGATGCTTAGCAACGTTGCGGTATAAACAAGCCAAGACCGCACTTTTCTCATCTCTGTGTGCGTTTTTTAAAATAATCTCTTCTTGTTACAAAGTAGTTTAATACTTTAAAAGAGAAGACGTTAATATCTTGGGCGTGGTTACCACACATCTCTAATGTATACTTAATGTTTTGTTTTGACAGTTGTTCAGCAAAAGTTTGGCTGCTTATCTTTCCAAGGAAATGGAGATTTGGTTAGAGAAAATAGGTAATGATTGGCATGTCTGATGAGTTCTCACATCACCTAGCATCTAGTGCAAACTCAAGGGTATTTGGTGTGTGTACTGTATGTGTGTGTGTGTGTGTGTGTGTGATGTCCAAATAGCAGATGTGACTGACGATAGAAGCCTTAACATGCATTTCGTACACTGCAAGCACAGAAAAAAAAGGGATGGGATTCTGATTGTCCAGTTCTGCCCACCATTCAATGTCATTGTCCCCGCCGGCCCTTAATTTGTAAAAAAAATTACTCTTGACTTTACATGGTGTACAGACTCAGCCAACTGTGACATATTCAAGAAACTATGGTTATAAAAACCATACTTTAATGTAAAGCTTTTAAGACATCTGGAACAATCTGGAGTATATTCCTTTCTTTTCTTTTAAATTGAAATCTATTTCCACAATGTCTTTTCCATTACTTTTAAATGTTTTACCTACGTTATTTTAATTTGTCCTCAAACCCCAGGCAACATGAAGCATCATGTGGAAGAGCTACTAAGGATCAGCTTTTATAAATGAACCTGGATATTTTATGCCCTTGCATGCCTGCGAGCATAGGTAATACGTTTTATAAATAAATTAATACTCATTAAAATATAAACTAGAAATAGCAAAGACAGCAAATTTACAAAATATATAGTAGCAGAGATAAGCAAACTAAAACATAACTAAAACACCCTAAAGAAGAAAACTGACAACAAAATAGAAAACACTCCAAAAACCTTTTGACAGGTTACCTACAGCTGTTGGAAGAAAAAGAAGCATCTTCCCCCTGCCCCTCCCCTGTGAAATCTGAGATATACACAGGGAAAAGCAGAGCTTAACACTGTGTATATTTGGTCTACAGGATAAGGCCCAGGTTAGACGCAGGTTAGAAACTTCCCATTCCCACTTTGGCATGAAAGCCATCTGGATGACTTTGGGCCAGTCACATTCTCACAGCCCAATTCACCTTACAGGGCTGTTGCTATATGGGGAAGAGGAGGAAGAAGGAGTACTACAGTAGGTATTGTTGCTGCCTTGAGTTATTTATAAAAGTAATAAATGCAGGATATAAATAAATAAAATTAAAATAAGGTAATAATACTGTGAATGTGTTCCAGAATACAAGTGATTTCCCCCCCACAAAACCTCTATCCTCTACACCTATGTTTTTCAAACTCAGCAACCTTAAGGGGTGTGGACTTCAACTCTCAGAATTCCCAGTCAGAAAAAAAAATCTGTCTTGTACTTTTGCTGACTCTCTCCCCATTTTGCCAACGTAATTACTTACATGCAGGAATAAAAAGAGGCTGGCTTGATCTGCTTGTTAAATAAACCCACAAAAGCTCTTTAGAAAGAGTCATTTATATTCTGCCAAACTATAGAAGCCAGTGCCTTCCTCCCTCGTGGTGGCTACTTTTAAGTTGCCAAGAGAGAGATGTTGGCCTTAGTGTGTGAGGATCAGTATTTTTAGGTTTGATTGCAAAGGTGAAGGCAGAAGTAGCTGCAGAGAAATCTGTCAATCTTGTTAAATGTACTCATATATGCCATCTTTCACAAATTTAATGAATGTCAGTAGAATCTAAAACACGATTAGCCATGTTTTAGTACAGAGACAGAAATATGTTCAAGAGCAGTACATCTCTTCTGTGTCAGCTATGTTGGTAATATATACAGTAAAAAAAACAAGAGGACCAGCCACAAACTGTGTACTCTCTTTCCAGATAATTTGCTTTAATGCAGCAGATGCCTCTCCATTGGTGGCAGATGAGTTGCTTGTCACCAGCTGAGTTCTTCAGCTTTGAGTTGCTGGGCCAAAATCTAGGAAGGAAGGAAATAGAGAAGGAGGGTTAGAATTGATGTTTGGTGTTCAGGCTAAGGCATAAATGCTGGCATCTTTACTGTTAATTTTGGGTTGCAGAACCTATCAAATTCTAAGACTATCTAATCCAGGCTACATTTAAATGACTTTTAAATGGTAGCAGAGAGAACCCTATTCTCTGAATGTCTACATTCTCCCTAAAGTTTGGAAAACTGACTGCAAAAAAATTCAATAGGGCAAACTGGATGAGAAATGCAATCTTGTCTAGAAGTAACTATTACTTGTTCCATTTAATAGCAGTTACCTGCACAGTGTGTGAATAAGATCTTATTTGCCTTCACCTCAATGCTTATTGAGGTACACATGGAGAAAGAATTAAGGAGACTCCTCTTCCACAATGGGAGAGGCAGTGAGGTAGAATATCCAGGGAATTCTATGATGGGTCCCTCAATTCTGGAACTCCACTGATTTCCTTCCAACAACAGTCATGTATTTTTCAGAACTGCTGTGTTTTTCTAGGTAAGTAGGGTCCTTAATGGTCTCTGAGCTTGTTTATTTGGGCACTGATGATGTTACCTAGTTTGATAATAAACGTCTTCAAGAAAACAACCAAGCTTAGAGAGTACCAAGGATTCCACAGTTCAATCCTGAGTTATAATATTCTCTTCTATCTGTAGTGACATCCTGCCCCAGATAAATCCTGGGGCCCAAACAGCAGATATTGGTAAATTTAATCTGACCGCTTCGTTCCTTGTAGCCTATTTCTTTTTCTTCTCCTCTAAGGGGATTGTTCTGAGTATCCTTTTTGATACCCATTTTATTAATAGAAGCTTTACCTTCCCTCAGTGTGCTCCTTCCTTTGCAGTAGGGGTCTCAGAAATCAATTAATTTTGTACACAATGCCTCAGAGCAGTGCAGAGCAATCTATAAGCCACCTGGGCTAAGGTGATTAAGAACCTAGGTGCCATTTGGGTTTGGAACAGCTTTCACACAGGTTTGGGCAACTTTGTTCCAAGCTAAAGAAAATGTACATTACTATTGAACAATAATGTTTATTATTGCTGATTAAAGTCCTTTTTTCAGGTTTAAAATACCATTGGTAGTAAATAAGTTTGTATGTACTCAGACTTCCAGACCCATTGATTTTGCTGTGTGACTTTTAAATCTCTTCAAGGAACAGATCAGTTTCTTTATATATAGGGTGAAATATTGTACTTTGCTTGCCTAAAGCTATCTCACCTTTGTCAAACAAATGATGCAGGAAAAATAAGTGTGCACATGTGTTCAACTACAGGAGCAGAGATACAGGTGGTAAGTCTGATGAAATCAATACAGTACATTAAATCTTATACCTTGTAATTAAAATTTGTTAGTTGGAAAGGGTGCTGCCAGACTACAGTGGTCTTTTTTGCCACTGATGAGAGTAAAAGGGATGCCTTGCTCAGTTCTCACTCTTTTCCATCCCCAGATACCAAGGATGAGATTAAGCCTGGGTGATGAATGTGCACATATCTCTTCTGTTCCCTTATGTGTGTGAACAGTATATGTACCTAATAGCCACTATCTACTGAAACAAGGAAAGGGTTTACAGGACATTTACTTAGGAGGAAGAAAATTGACACATCAGAAAAGAGAGAAAAGGCAACAAACAAAACAAAGGAAATATAGCCCCAGAATCCTTTAAGAAGAACATTGGGGGTCCTTGTAAATAAGTGGTTCCCAACCTTTTTAATACCGCGACCCCCAACCGGTCGTAAGTCGAGGACTACCCAACCGGTTTAAGTCGAGGACTTTCCCTGCCCTGGAGCGCCGCGCATGCGTGGTGCCGCCCCCTGCGCCGGCCGAGGCGTAGCTGGCAAGCGGCAGAGACGGAGCAGGCTGACCACCGGCTGGGCCACCAGCTGGCCCAGCCCAAGGGAGGTAAGGCACCCGCCGGGCCCCACGTGCACCAGCAACCTTCCCTGCGCCCACCGTCCTCCCACCTCCCACCCCTGGCTCTCTTTTACTTACATTTTTAATAGTTGCTCAGCAGGGAGGGGTGGAAACTTCCAGACAGCTCGCCTTCGCTGCAGACAACTTGCAGCACCGTTTGCAGAATGAGACTTTTGGCGGGCTCAGCAGGGCAGAGACAGCCTGGACAATTCCTATTGGCTTTTGAAAGCCAATAGAATTAGACTCTATTCAAGAGAGTCTATTCTATTGGATTTCAAAAGCCAATAGAATAAAAGGGAGTAGCACAGCTAAGGAAAAGGGGGAAAAAATGGCGGACTGCTTTGTTTGTGCAGCCCCCGTGAAAGGGTCATTCGACCCCAAATGGGGTCACGACCCACAGGTTGAGAACTGCTGTTGTAAATAATTCTTTTAGATTAAGCACCCATAAGGCACATTGGTGAGCCTTTAAAATTCTGTATGAGTTGTGTTCGTATAATGTTATTTTTAAATGCAGTTTTAATTTTTTATAACCAGCTAGCACAGGAGTGTGTGTGAGGAGGTTTCAAGAAAGTGGCTGAAACTATATGTATATATCATATATACCATATGTATAGCCATATGTATAATCATTTTGTCTATATGTTACATGTATAATGGACTTAAAAAGGGTGGGGATTAAATTATCCAGTTATAGCTGCCATCTTGACTCTTTTGATCATCCACTGAGGATGCCTCTGAATAATGGTTCTGTGAGTAAATGTACGAAAGAGAATATAATAAGAAAAACATTTCGACATTATAATGACATTAAAAATAAGGCTAAAAATAGAGTAGAATAATTCAACTTAGCTATCTCACATACAGTTTTTAAGCAATTTTGTATGAAGAACAATCACAATTTCATGTCTTAAAATTCACCCTATCTTTTTAAATTAAAGGTGGACTGAAAAAAAAATAGTTTATAAAGATTTAAAGAAAACCAGGAAGAAATCAAATATACTCCCACAGGTCATCATAAAAAAAATCCTTGTTTTGGGCTCCCTTGTTTGACTAAATCTGCTCCCAGAGTCAAGACCAAAGATTTTGTAGCCAAGTGTAAGACTCAGAATTGGTCATGGGAGCAAATAAACATTTTGTAAGGTCAAAGTTTTTGCACGGCATATTATGTAAACTCGGGCATTGTCTAAATTACCTCTCATGACATCTGACGTGCTAAGTTCTGCTCTAACTGAATCTTCTGAACTGTTTTAAAATATATTCTATGCCCAATATTTTGGAATAGTGTTGCCTGGATATAATAAACAACACCAACCAAATTGTGTATGTGTACGTGTGTGTGTATGTGTATGTGTGTGTGTGTGGTTCATTATTATTTATTTTTTTTTGCTTATTACTCAGAGTCACATAGCTAGCTAACTATTCTTTTAAAATAGGTTATGCTGAGTTTAAGGATTTTCATACAAGAAATGGTTTCCCAACCCAATTTAACTTTCTAAAGCCTTAAATGAATAGTGTGTGTGTGTGATATAATAATAATGATGATGATGATGATGATGATGATGATGATGATAGTAAAAAGTTGGAAGGGACCTTGGAGGTCTCTAGTCCAACCCCCTGCTCAGGCAGGAAACCCTATATCATTTCAGACAAATGGTTATCCAGTCTCTTCTTAAAAACTTCCAGTGTTAGAGCATATGTGTGTTTGTGTGCACATGTTTTTAAGTCACTTTTTGACTCCTGACAGTTGCTTCAACTAGTCTCTACAATTTTTTTGACAAGCTCTTTTGAAAGTGGTTTGCCATTGCCTGCTTCCCAGGGCTAAAAGAGAATGATTGGCTCAAGGTCACCCAGTTGAGTTCATGTTTAAGGCAAGACTCGAATTCATAGTGTCTAACCTGATGCCTTAACCATTACACTAAATTGGCTCCTTGTGTGTTAAATGATTTAATAGATATTCCTCAACTCTTAATTTTTGGTAGTGGGGTTTTTTGTGACCTCACCTGTTTGGAAGAGCTTGCTACCCAAAGTCTTCAACTCCTATCATTACTGACTTTCAGGAAAGCTATGAAAACCCTTCTGTTTTCCTTTTTCTCTTTTTGATTGTGTTTAAGGAGCTATTCTTTGAAGGTTGCTGTAATTATGTACTAGATTTATTTCTGGATCTTTGGGGAGGGGGGTTTTAGTTGGCTCTATTGATTTCTAATGCTTCGATTAATTTTTCTATGTTTCTATTTTATGTAATTTTATTACATAAGTGTCTGTAAGATAGATTTTGTCCTCACAGGCAGCCTAAAATATATTTTCTTTAATTTTATAAAGGTCTTCTATGCTACTGACAAATCAAGTCTGTGCAACTAGCAGGAATCCAAGCAATATAATAGTAGATCAAGCATTGGTAAGAACTCCCTAGATAGACTATCAGTAGCAGTGTGATTGTACGATTGTCTGCACCCACAGCCAGGGCTGGAAATTATGAGAGGCCTTAAAATATTCTGAGAGGTATAGATCAGGGCTTTTCAACCAATGGTATGGGTACCACCTGTGGTACTTTGGCACCTGGCAGGTGGTACGCCACCATCCTAGAAAAGTAGTGGGGGAGGGGAATGAGCTGAACCAGTGGCAGCACTGCACAAGTCTGAGCAAGAGATGGCTGGAACTGCAGGGCTGCCAGGGCTCAGTGGAAGCGCCAGGATCAGCGCTCCTTTGGGGCTGTCAGGGCTCAGCGGAAGCACCAGGATCAGCGCCAGGCTCTAGCTGGAGCTGGGCGCTGATCCTGGCACTTCTGCTGAGCCCAGGAGAAGCGCCGATCAGCTGGAATGTTGCAGCCTCTCCAGGGTCTTGTGATTTACATTCAGATGCTTGGCAACTGATTTATATTTATGACGGTCACAGTGTCCCAGGGTCATGTGAAGTGACCAAAACCTGCTGCAGCCACCCAGCAGACAGGGGGAATAAAAACCAAACACTCCCACCTTATCCCCGCTGCCTATCCTCAACAGAAATGCTCACAACAATGAAAATCTCAGACAGGAGGAAGAGTGCGGCCCGGCGGGCAGGCAGGTGTCTT